TATCTCCCACATTCATTCTCAACGATCTTAATGGAAATGGAGTTTACAGGTACCCTGTGTTGAGTTTGTGACCTCTGGTAGTGCTTTGGAGCAATACCTCAAACCGACACGTATGGGTACTTTTGGGGGATATACAACCGAAGAGAGATGTTTTGTAGACACATTTAATAATTATCTTGTGACCTTGCCTGAACCTGAGCATTCAACGTATAAATAAGGTTGCGTGCCTGCCAGTGAGAGATAGGGTTATTCTGCCACTATAGTTTCTCCATTGCGCTTGGAAGGGGAGGGTGAAGCGAGGGAGTTGCCACTAAATACTACACATTTGCCCTTTAAACAAACAAGATATATATGTAGAGGTGTATTTTTTAAACTTTGGACAGAGGCAGGTTAGCTGTTTCCCCTGGTGTCCAGTCTTTATGCTAAGCTAGGGTAAACATGTACTTCAACTCTGTGCTCTTTAACCCTTACCCTCAGAAAGACAGCAAATTAACACATTTCCCAAAATGTTGAACTATTCCTGTAACACATTTCACCTTCCAATCAGCCTAGTTTGATTGCTATTTGATGATCCAGTGAGCGAGATTATAAGTAACTCACATCACATTAATTTATGTCTAAGTTATCTCTAGATAGATCTCACCACATCAGTCACAAGATAGCACCCCTATAATTTATCTGCAAAGAATAGAACTCGCTGTTGTTTCCGCCTCATTATTCTATTCTACAACACACACATCTTTGTGCTGCACTAAATCTAATAATTCTAAAGTCTCCCTCTCTCAGACAGGTGTCCCATACCATATTATTTTCCCCGTGTGAGTGTTCCTGCCTTCCCCACCTCTACGAAAGGATACTTGACATTAAAAAGTTTGAAAAGCCCTTAATTCTGCAGCCTTCCGATTCACACACCGCGGACCTGATTACCCATTCAGTGTGAAATGACATTCTGAAAGAGCCTGAGCTCTGACAGGTGGCTCTTTGTCATCATTATTCCAGCGTAACACCCACTCAGTCCCGCTCACTGTGCTGTGCTGCTGCTCGTGACAACTCCACACAGACATAAAGGCACGAGTTTACAGGTCTCATGAATACACACACACACACACACTAACACATGGTTGTTTAAATCAACACAGCGAGTGTGAGGATGAGGTCATAATCAGTGCGGCAATGGAGTCAATGAGTGCTTTCTCAGAAATATGTAAACAAACTTAAACAGAAAACACACACACACACACACACACACACAGCACGAGGCACCTGAAAATGAAACAAAATGAGGTATCGACTGGTTGTCAGAGAGGCAAACAACATCATTCATCCACAGCAGGATGACACAAAACACAGAGGAATCAATCAGTGGGAGAAGGAGAGGGGAATACACGTATAGGTAGAGCAAAGGCCAGACAAATGACTGTTGAGCAACAGTAAACTAAGCTATTGCTGATGGTGAGATAAAGTGAACAACAAAAAGAGCTTTCGACTCAGCTGCATTGCTTTATTGTGTAAATTAGCTTCTTTACAATTTCATTTTGCCTCTGCTGAGATTTAGACAAAAAATTGGATATGATTCATTGTGTCAATTCTCCATCTCTATATGGTATCCCATTTCCACAAAGAAAAGACTAACAAATACATGAAAGGTAGGCATGATAAAATAGAAATAAGTAACTCAATAGGTAACGTAATGACAGTCATATTTTCATAGCGTAAAACATTTGTAGATTACAATTCCCTGCTTTCAATAATCCAAACATATGTACAGTTGTATGCAAACGTTTTGGCAACCCTTGACAAATATTCTAACCCTTCAACGAACAGTCAGCAACCATGGGTTCCTCTCTGCAGCTGTGTAAAACTAAATCAAAGTTACTGACGCCGATATGCAGGAGAAGGCTACAAGAAAATAGCAATGCTGTTTCCATAGAGGTCAAGATGAGCTCAAGGAAGACCAAGAAAGCTCTCGGAGAGAACTGCTTGTATGCTGGTCAGAAAGGAATTCACATCATAAAATCTGACTGTATGCAACAGAATATCTACAGATGCCTGATGTGTTTTTGAAAAAGGTGTGAACTGATGAAGTAAAAATAGAACTATTTGGCCAAAATCAGCAAAGGTATGTTTGGAGATAAAAAGGTATGTTTGGATCTTCCAGGAGGTCCAGTTCGAAAATTGTCAGTAAAAAGTTATTTACATCAAAAAATGGACTAATTATGACTTACTGTACAAAGTTTTGACCCACTCTCTCATAATTTTATTGTAATATCTAAAATAATAATTATATCTAAATTCAACCCAGTCTCCTAAAATTGATATAATACATACAGCAAATACCAAATGCCTTGGAAATACTAAATGCTGCCTTGTTGCTACTTTTTCAACATAACAAGGGAACTATCTCACAGGCTTTTTAGAGTAATGGGGGGTGGGGCAGGAAAGGGTATCGGCGGGCAAAGCCTATTAAAATACATTTCTGCAGTTTCTCTAGTTGTTATTTTTATTATCCAGAGGGGACTGTAGGTTTCACTTGCAGCTACGCAGATGATGCTGCGCTTGTTAAAATCAATCTTGTTAATCACACAAGAAGTTATCCCCACACCACCACCTCGCTAAATAAAGCAGACAAATAAACAAATAAGTAAAAATAAACAAGTGAAGACCATGAGGAGATCCATCATCATTAAACCAGAACAGTTGGTGCTCAGCTCGTTGTGGCAGAAAGCACGACCGAGGCCTGGGTTCAATCATTAATGCACCACTGGCTCCTCTTGTTGTGACTGGTGTACCAAACACAGCCTGTCAGACTCACGTGCATGCCAATGTAGTTTATAACATCTGAAGACATGACTGGAAGCTGTGAGGTGCTGCGTAGCTTCTAAATGCGTTGACATTATTTTCTCTTAAAACACTAGCAGCACCCTGCATACTAACCTGTCACTCATGATGTGAAAAGAACTGAAGTGATTATATACCGCAGAGCTGAAATAATGTTTTCCACACTCGTGTGGATGGTGCCCGTACGTTTTCATACTGGTTTTGAATAAAAGATTCCCGGCACAGAATCCTGGTGTATGTGAATGTAAATATGGACCCTGGTGACATATAAAGGAAGAAAAGGAGAAGATCAGTGTTTAAATTTTGTGAACTACTAAATCACACGCATATTAAAAGACAAGATGGTTTTTGATTGTAAAAACAATCTTACTTATCATGTGATTCCTCTGAACTAATGCTGACCACGTACACGCAGCAACAGCAGAAGAAAAGCAAAGAGTGCATGCAGTGCGAAGGGTGAGCAAGGGCCCACAATGTGATCTGATGTTGTCTTTCAGTATCAGTCCTAATGACTAGCATCAACATTCTAAACAAGATAATTCAGGAGTTGATCCACCCACCCCTAGTTTGTACAGGATTAAGGATAATATTGGCCCACTCCCAATCTCCACCTGACATCACCTGGTGCTTGAGTGTGAGAGGCTGCAAGGGCCCAAAATGGTATAAATAAGAGTGAAACAGCACTTTGTGACATCTTTTGAAGAAGATGAGAAGCGTTTTATACATTCTAGCACACCATTTTATTGCCCACGTCTTATTTATTTTATCATTATAATTTATCTTTATTTTCTGGGGTTTTACTTTTAACATTTATATTATTGTAATTGCCTGATTTATTTGCCTCAGTCCTGAAATGTTTTAATCCTTGTCCAACCATGTAAAGCAGTTTATTATTATATGATATTGTTATATCGCATTACCTTGAAGATGACAAAACATGTTATGTAACCTACGATTGTGGGTTTGGGACTTTATATTTTACTTATTTTTACTTCTTCACAGCCAGGGCACTTAAGGCATCAACTGTCTGAACATCCCACAGAGTGGACGAGAATCCATTTACTTGTTTTTGTCAAAACAACATCATAACTAACTTAGTTTTTTCTTGTTACTCCTCCCATGTTTGTTTACCATTTCTTAACGCTTGAGGGCTCACCCTGGTAGCCCACTGTTTAATGTCACAACGCTATAAACTGTGGGTAATTCCCTCAGGCAAAGTCTGCAGAAATGCAGACTTATGTAAAGTGTAGATAAAGCACTCAAAATGTTTGCCAGACAGCCCTCTTGGACTTGATGATTTGACAGTGAAACAGCCCTAAGCCCTTACAGACTTATCGGGAACACACCTCAAAGTCTGTGAGTGTGGAGATTGGGATTGGGCCATTGTCATTCCAGAACATGGTACACATGAAAGTGAATACAATTAAGTACTCAAGTCCCAGTGCCAGTAATAAAACTGAGAAAGGGCACACAATATAATACCATCAAAATACTAACAATAAATAAATATATGAGTATAAGTATAAAGTGAGTGTGAGGGAGGAGACCAGTAAAGTGTAAAAGATAAATATGGCAGCCAAGTAGGCCCAAAATACAGCAGTGACCTGGTTAAATAGGCAATATAATAGTGTTGCATGAATATAAAGCCTTGGATGCATGTTGTTTGTGTTTTCTATGCCAACCTGTCTTTTAGAAGGGTTAAAAAAATAAACTATTGATATTATTAATATATATTATGATAGTATAGTCATAAGTATAAAATAAATATTTTCTTAGCTTGAAGGTCCATTCTTGACTTTAAAAACAACAGCTTGACAAAATCTCAGCACAAACTCCAACTTGTTTAAAATTCAGCAGCTGAACAGAAAAATGTCCTTTTGTAATGCAGCGTTTTACCACGTCGATCAATTCCTGGCATTACATTTATTCACATTGATCACATCCTCTCCAGGGGACAGATAAGCACTCTCTGCCAGGGCAATCACATGAAGTGATCACACCCTTGTGAAGTTGTGTGCGCGTGTCCTTCTGTCCTTTGGCTGCCTCAGCTCAACTCCTCGTTAAAAATGCAAGATTGAAAACACCTGAGAGGTAGCTGGGAGCTGGAAATACAAATTGAATGTTTTGGGGTTTTTGTAAAGTGTACAACAGCACAACCTGCACACACCACTCTCTTTCTGAAGCTTAAATCTCTTTGGCTGGGGCAACAGGTGTGTTTACTTGTGGAATTTGGGGAGCTTCTGCCTCTGAGAGCCACCAGCTCCTTTGGATCACGACTTGAGAGGGCAGCTCAGCCCAAGTAGCCTGATGGTCATGACTGAGTTCCTAATTACAAGGTAAAAGTAATAAAAAATTTAAACTCAATTGTCTATAATGAATGATATGGTCTGTAATAAATATTTTAAATAAGTGTTTTTCTTTCACAGGGTATTACTGGTTATCTTGTTGAGGGAGCTGGACTATTCCTCAGCTTTTCCAAGAGGTAAGTCTGACTCAAATATTGCTTTATTTCTGTGCATGAAGTTGAGGATTTCTGATCCAATCAGCCAGTCTTAGCCAAGTATATAAACAGAAAATCCAGAAAACTCAATCATAGGGTCTTGTGTCATATAGTTTTCAATCCATAATACATCTCACAACTGAGTGAGTGAGTATTTAAAAAATAAGGCTTTTTCTCCTGCAAACCTGTACCAGGTCAGTCTAAATAATTTGTCCTGAAACCTGATTTTATTTTAACACATGTGCCATTAAGGGTGTGGGTGTGTCTTTTTATGGTGCCAGGACGATGACTTTAAAATTTGGCACCAGTACTGAAAAAGGAAACATTTGTATTGGCACTGAAAAAAGAAGCTAATTAAAATCTTAAAATATTTCATTTTATTGGGATTTTTTTTGTATTTTTCAATGACAATCTTCAGATTTTTTCCTCATGTCACTCTTTTTTTCAGTGACAGCTTTTTTTACAATGTCGTTTTTTTTCCAGTGTGCGTTGAGGGGAGGGGCAAAGAGAGCGTGGTCCCCAGGTAATACTAGTCCCATGCGAATAGGGCTTTACTTGCGATTTGGAAGTTCCCGGTGAACAGGGCATTTTAGGAATGCCACCATGCCAGAGGCTTCAGAGCGGACGGCATGTATGCCAATATGCAAATTATATGCAAACCACGCTCTACTTGCCCCTCCACTCAGACCCCTCCTCAACGCCAAAACAGTGACAGAAAGTTGAAACTGAAAATCAGTGTCACTGAAAACAACTGACATTGAAAAAAAATCTGTCACTGAAAAAAGAAAACATGAAAACATTTCTTCATGTGACATGAAGAGAAAATCTGAAGATTGTCACTGAAAAATACAAAAACATCCCAATAAAATAAGATTTTGAGATTATAATTTTAATTAGTTTCTTTTTTCAGTGCCAATACTTGTTTCAATGCCAATACAAATGTTTCCTTTTTCAGTACTGGTTTTGTTTTCAATGCCAATTTATTTTTATTTTTTTTGGATGCCAAATTTTAAAGTCACCTTCCGGCTCCATATCTTTTAAGACTGGAGGGACAGTTGATGAATGCTTACATTTTTTTTAGCCTGTTATGTAAAGACTGAAATTCTCTGTTAATGTAACCTCCAGTATTGAAGCCAGATAAAACCATCCCTTAGTTATAGACAGAATCATGAGGCTATTTCACATCCTTTATCTTCCTCTCCATCTCTTGCTCCATCCCAATATGAAATTCCATTATTTGGTTATCACCACATTGATAGAGCTGCTGCTAACACCAAATGTGATGGATGTTGGACACCCCCCCTCCATTTAAAAAAAAAAAAAAATGTTTTCCCATGTTGTGCCTTTTGGATGTTTGAGCTTCACTCTCATTAGCCCTGTTTCCACCCAGCAAAACGGCTCTAAAAACTTGCTAAATGCTATCTTCCCAAAATTAAATGTAAGTTGGTTCTAAATGAGTAGGTGATGAAGAAAGTGGAGTACTGGCAGCTAAAGAGACAGATATTTCACCCAGGAGTTGGAGGATACCTAAAAAGAACTATTTTCATAGTTTGTTCAAACTTGGGAGGAGCAGTATCCATGCCAGCAGCTGTGCCCCCAGGCACTATGGGTAGCATTAGTTTATACATTAGCTACATGTTCACTGATTTTCTATGCTGCCCTCCACACTGCTCCTTTCAACATGCAAATCCATTTTCACAGTGCCAATCATTTGAAAATAATCAGCTTAATTTCTAGGACCCTCACCCGAGATCTCCTGCATTTCATACAGTGTGCATAAAGCTGTTACTGTAAGGTCAGTATTCTTAACATGTTAACTATCTATGTTCTGTTCATAGCCAGAAGTTCTGTGTATCCTGAGGCATGGCATGACAAACAAGAAGGATATGCCTATGGGAATCGTCGCCCTCTCCAGTACATCCAGGCTTTGAGGCAGTCCCACAGAATACTACGGCCCAATGTCCACGATCAAGTTCAGGTCAATACCTGGCAAAAGCCTCAGGAAAGTTTTCGTGTCCGTAGCCATGCCCAGACACAAAATCAACCCAGTCTGTACCACCAAACCCAGAGCCCATGGACACAGGAAATGTCCCCATCCAAATATCCATCAAAGACCATGAGAGACCATCCATTGTCCAAGCCCAGAAGCTTTGAATTCAGCCTAAAAGTTCCTTCTGTCAACGTCCCGGGCCAAAACAAAGAGACCAGTTCAACCACTAAAGGCTCTGATTTGAGCAGCGGTAGGAGCGATGGTAGTGTTCAAATCTATAGCAGCTTCAACAGCCCTTCTGGTTCGGACTCCACAATTCACCCAAATGGAGCAAAAACTGCCCATGAAGTTACCGAGCCAAGCTTTCAACTGGGCTTCTCTATTCCAACTCCGAAACCCTCCATTAGTAATGGTGGCCATCTCGCAAATCTACAAAGACCAGGAATTGTTGGTTTTGTTGAGAACAGTTACATGGAACCAGCAAAAATCCCCAAATATCCTCCTCCACAATCCAACAATGATTACAGTGACTACTATAGTGCCCAAATAGACCCCATGAGTAATGACTGTGTGAAGGGCCAAAGTGGACAAACAGTCTCATCAGACCCAACAAATGTCCATCTTTCTTTATATTCATCACAATATGAAAGAGTTCCAGGAGGATATAACTGTGCTGGTCAGGTCAAACCCAGTGGCAACAATTATGGCCAACATCAAACGTGGCAGCCAGCTGGTACTCAATTTCCCTTTGCTTCAGAACAGTATAACTACGGCCAATTTAAACCATTTGGTCACAGACAGAATGTGGAGACAGTACCTCTTCCAGGGCCAACACACCCATCATCTCCCACTGTTCCTCCATCCCAATATGAACTCCCATCATTTCATCAAGTTGGCACCACTAAATATTATGGACCAGGCAATGTGGTTCAGATGGGACCAAAATATCCCCTTTCCCCTTATCCTTATCAATACAGCAGTGGTCAGAGTGGCCAAGATGCATTGCCTGATCATCTCACTGCTTTTGACCCTTTGCCCAATTTCCAGGGGCAGTCAAATTATTATCAAACCCAAATGAGACCCCCCACACAGTACACTAGAGAGCAACTGGATGTAAAACCCAAATACACACAACTCTTTATTGATGTGGAAGATGTAACAGACGGAGGGGATGGACAGCACAACTATTTTGTAGCTCCACCAAGATACTATGATGGTTACCCTGGCAAATGGACTGAGTAGAACATGTCAAACATCCGTTAGCAGTCCCGATCCACCATTTACGAAGGTCCAGTCTCTGGTTTCAGTGGGCCATGGCCAACTCACTGAGCTACTTAACTCCACTTTTGAAAGTTACGCAAGCAACAAACCTGAGTATTACATGTCTGTCAACTACCAATCTCCTAGCATGGACAGGGAAGTAAACCAATATAGTTGTCAAAAAATAACAGAAAGAGTTACGATCCTGTTCCTGGACAGGCTAACTATGCTTCACATGTGGGAGCACAGTCTAGGGAACCAATGTTCCTGTCAAATAATACAAGTCTTTAGAGAGCACAGTGGAGGATATGAGCCAGGTGTTTGCTCAAGACAAACGTGTTGCCCAGGATGTGCATTCTAGGTGGCGCAAACCACAATCCTGAAGATCTACTATGGTATCTGTGAAGTAAAGGATCAACTGATGTCAGCATGCATAGCATCCCGTGATGAGCCTTCAGGGTAAAGCAGACCAGCCACAAGGAAAGGGAGCACAGGTGGGTTATACTCCTCAGACCAACTTTTAGTGGCAATTGTTCAATGTGGAAACATTTAATACATCAACAGATTGATTCTCTAGGTTCACTGACAAAGTATCATCTCATTTTCTTTCCTACAGATTGTGCGGTAAACTGAAGCAGTGCATGGAGGATAATCTACTGCCCAATTGTTTCCATTAGTGTCCAAGCTCTATCCTCTGCTTTTAATTCTTTAAATTACTACTCAGCTTCTGTCAAGGTGTTTAAATAAATGGTTTTGTGTAATACATATTCCCTTTGTTACCAAGAGTTGGATGAGAAAATCTATACTGCTGTCTGTAAAATGGCCTGATTGCTTGGCTCTGTCTGGAGGTTTAAAAAAAATCTACTTACCTACCGGTACAGCCCACTGATAAACACACATCTCATTTGTTTTCACCTGTGCAAAACTTTGAAATGTAAAAATGAAAGGCTGTGGTTTGAGGCTATATATGCGTGGCAATTTTGTGGCCAGATGCAGTGAAGTCATGCATGCCCACGCTTTAGTCCTAAGTGTAACTTAGCATAACAGTGATATTGATCTTCTCATGTAACTCTCAGCAAGAAAGCAAAATGAGTGGATTCAAAGTGTTTGAATTATTCCTTTTTAAAAACTAAATTTACTTCATACAGGCCAGAAACAGTTTCCCATGCTATCACAAACATATCAAGTTTCAATCGTATATATCGGTAAAATCCTTTTCTACATATTTTGACATCTGTCAGCAACCCTGTATTGGAAAGGAATGCATTTATTGGTTGAATTAAATGAACTGTCTTATCTGTCAAAACTTACTTGTGATACATGCCACAGTGAGTGTACAGCCTCTCACAAACGCTGAGGCTACATGTTCAAAAGAATCAGTGATCAAAGGCGCTCCTGCTGTTAGAGGCAGTCTCATGAGTGAGGTGTGATCTCTTCAAAGGATTCAACTTTGGATCGCTGCCAATACTTGTTTGTTGAGGTTACGTTCTGCAGTGTCACTTCTGTAAACTAACTGTACTGTAGTGGGGAAAATGCATTCAGGGATAAGGTTCTGTGAACATGAAGCAAACTATTGTTATTTCATGTTTTACAGGCTTACAGTATAATATTTTATGTTCACGTATGTTAATCCTCATGCATTCACACTTTTTTGTCTCACACTAGTTAGAAGAGTCCAAAGACCAAGGCTGTCTCCTGGAGAGTAGGGCATCAGATGTGTTATGACTACTGCTTATCAGACATTAGACGTCACCAATAGACACTCTAGGGGAAAGAGGCATGTAATAGAGTGATTTTCTTTGTTTTAGTTAGTTGATTCTAGAGACAACTCAGTTTGCTTGTATCCTGTGTTGATGCAAATAAATCTTACACGTGAAGTGAAATGGTCAATTCTCTTTGCTTTCTGTGAGTTTGTCACAATTCTGGGTACCTTCAGTGTGAGTTTGTGGTCTCTCACTAGAGTCAGATAGCTAAAAGTTTATGTCAGATAGATGTTGATTGAGGTGCATTGAGACAAGAAAAATTACACCACATTTGGCGAGCCAAGCCAGGAGGACAAGACAGGTCCCGGTTCCGGGCGGACAGCCCTCACTCCACCACAGACCGACCACTCTAAGAGCACTCAAAAGGTAAGCAGAAAAACCTTTTCTAAATTTTCTGCATATGGTGTTTCTGTCTGTGGGGAGAGAGAGCAGTCTGTGACTCCCGCTTTGTCCTACGAACGTAAGAAAATAAGGACCCTATAACATTTGTTTATTGACTCCAATATACTACTAAATTACACACGATTATATAGAATAATATAAAGCTAAATTGTGTTTCATTGAGTTTCTGATTTAGATTTTTGCTAATTTGTTCATTGACTTATTTCATTAAAGTTAAATTGAATTGCTGTTACCACAAAGCGCGTCTCATGCATGAGCTGTGTGTGTGTGAGAGTGAGTGAAAGTCCTAGGTAGTGTGAAGAAGTCCTAGGGACGTCACAGTGTGTAATCATTGATCTAGGCGGGTTTATATAAAAACAATTATAGCATCTTACTGAGAAACCGCTGTTTTATTGCTACATAAATAGGCAGGGCAGGCCCGGTAGTGAGCTAGCCGAGATTCCACTACATTAGGATCATCCTTATGGTCTGTTTGACTGCAGGGCCAGGTGTCCGGTTAATAAAGTAGATTTTAGGAGTCCTAGGGAAATCACAGTGTGTACTCATTGATCTAGGCGGGTTTCTATAAAAAAATTATAGCATTATGCTGAGAAACTGCTGTTCTATTGCTATATAAATAGGCAGGGCAGTTGTTAATCAGTACCTTAGAAATAATTTATTTAATGTATCACCATGACGGGAGCTATTAGGCAACATTGTATCTCTTTACGCAACCTCTCACTAGTCAGATTGATCGCAGAATTCATTAACTTCCATTTAAATTGTGAAGCTGCCATTCAAGATGTGTTACTGTATTAAAAAAATAACTTTTTAAACAATGTGTATTCTCTAAATGTCTCGTGTTGTAACTCAATCTGTAATTGAAAATGAGAATGAAAATCAGTATTTCCTAAATAGGGGGATGAATGCACTTGGGAAAACAGACCTACAGCAGCTGGAGGGATAAAGTCACTGACACAGCTTTCTATCTTAGACAGAAAATTGTTGCGTTATTAACTGTCCACCACCGTTGTTTTAGAAAAGGCATATTGCTTTTTGGTTATTTAAAGTATTTTGTATCTGTTGGGGTAAAAAAGACCTCCAATGCAATTTATTGTATTGAGGTAAGAGTAAATGGCCAAATTAAACTCAACATTTCAAACAAACAGCTATACGTAATAACTAAAGTTTTTTTTTTGATGAATTCTTCTCTGAAAATGGCCACTTGAACTTCCTGGAAAACATTCCATCTGTAACACTGAACTCATGCTCCAATAGTGGGTATCCTTAGAAGTCTAACCAGTAAAGTTATGCATAAATACAACACTTCTCTGCCTGTTCTGTCAAATCAAGCTGCCTCTTCTCCATAAATAACTGGGCCTTATGGTTTCACTAGTCCTTTATTGTCACCTTCTGTTTCAAAAGAAAATACATCAAGGAAGTAATAATACCATCTCGTAGGACTTTGGAAGTATTTGGACGTGGAGAGTAAATGAGCACATGTAGTAGTAGTAATGTGATTTCTTTGGACAAACATACTGTTTGAATAGAACAGGTCTATATCATTTAGACATAAGCTGAAGTGAAAATGGTATATTGCAGCACTGTCCGCTCCAAAAGGCCCTCTCTCCAGTGTTGCCGAGCACACTACAGAACAGTAAATTAAAGGATAAGCTCATATGAGGCTTCAGTAGTCTGACTCAAATAAAGGGGATTTGTTGCTACAATCGTTCTAATATAAAATCCCCTCTGTTTGTCTAGACAATGTTTCCCTTTAAGCAGCTGTGGAAGGATAGTAGCAAAAAGAGGGAATTTTGTAGTGTATGTATTGTTAGTTTTCCAGGTTTGAATTTCTGACAAAACTGAAATGCACAGTAGACACTTAAGTTTTTTAAGTTTTGAATGCCAGAATACTAATAAATGCCACAAACATAGTCTCATGTTTTTTTAGTAGAAAATGAAGTCATGTGAGCATGCCCTAATCTGCTCGAACCAACATTTGGTCAAGTCCTGTTCATAATACAATGTTGAGGTAATTTCAGCTTGCCAGTTGCTGAGATAAAATAATTTTTACATTTCTGTTCAGCGATTAGACTGGCTGGCCCTGAAAAGAGGCTCCTTCATGTTTTTCCATTATGTGAAGGTAGTAAGATACTCTATGTTAGTTTATGCTCTAAATTGTCACCCATCTCTGTACAATATATAGAGCCATCTTTGTTAGGCATTATGTTCACTATTGACCTCAGCTGTGTTGCTTGATAGGCTTTACATCATATTCCTAATATCTGTTAATATGTGATAGTTTTATTATGTGGGGGAAATACTTTTCATCGCGCTGCCTACACTAACTCATGGAAAGAACTAAAGAGATGAATAGTTACCTTGGCCTCTCCTTGAACATTTGTGTTAGTTACACATTGATGTAAATGACCGTGTAAACTAAGGTCTCGGACAATTAAGCAGCTCTAAGCAAAGTGTGAGCTATCATCACATCTAAGCTGAACATGAAAGGATACAGCAGTGATCATACTTTTGCATAAAACATAGTACACAACAACCACAAGGAGAGGCTATGGTTAAAAACAACAACTAAAGAACATACTGTATGTGAGCAGTTGTTGAAGGACAGCAACAGAGTGGTCTTTTCTTTAAGTTTTCAAACTACTTGAAATTCAGTTGTTCGAGCTCAAGGGCGTGCACAGCTGCAGAGGTAATCATTTAACAATTTCTGAAAACTGAAGATGCGGCAATGAGTCTACACCTTTCAATGGAAAATGTCTTTCACTGTAATCAAGGACAGCATGTAACTGTGCTGTTTAACTGAAGTTGGAATTGGTCAAAGCTGGTCAAAGTTTGTGGACAACAACTCTGATTGTACACATCAAGCTCATCACAAGTACTACTCAGTCTGCCAACAAACATGATGACATCACAGGAGTTGTTCTAGAGACTCAGTCATTTAATTTGGATGACTCTTTTTTTATCTGTCTCTTGTGTAAAGTACCACTTTAAATAATGTGGGTGGGTGAAGTCCCTAGATGTGGGCCTGTTGATATGTAGCTGATGACATGTTTAATGAAAAACAGGAGAACAGGGAAGCGTATAATGAAAATAATATTTGCTTTATCTTGTTATAACTTGAAACTATTCTCATTTCAACTAGATATTTTTTAAGCTAAATAACTATGACATAATTTATCGCTATTACCAAATAATAATATTAATAACTTTACTTATATAGCATCTTTAAAGACGGAGTTTACAGAGTGCTTTGACAAAGAAAAACTTCAGACGGCAATATGACAACCGAACCGAGGCCAAACAAAGGCAAGAAAGAAATAAAGAACAAGAAGAAAAACACATGGTAGAGGGAAGACGGTGATAATGAAAGATAACGATGGATAAAGCAATAGCCATTAAAAAACATAATGTAATTAAACATCAAATATTACAATTATATGATATATATATTTATAAGAGAGAAAAAAGGCACAAAAGCAAGTTTATAAAATGGGTTTTAAGAAGTGATTATGAAGCCTCATCTCTTCAGGCATGTTGTTCCAAGAGAGGCCGATGGGGCCCTTATGGCAAAAGTGTGGTCACCTTTAGATTCAACTCTTGACTTTGGAACAGCCAGAAGGACCACCTGAGTATCCAAGGCTGCGAATTGGCTCATAAGGGGGCAACATTTCTCCTATATAGCTTGGGGCCAATCAACCTTTTACTTTGTTTTATCTTGTTATGTCACGAAACTCTCATTATTACAAATATTAACATTCTTAGTATTATGGCAGCAATACACTGCCGTAGGGAAGCCCCTAAACAATAATAAAATGAAATCTAAACCAAGCCACAGGAGTATCATTTAAACCTCTTTCCTAACATGCATACATGCCCTTGTGTCCTCTCAGTCAAGGTTATGTTACAGGTCAGTGTGTAATGATGCTGTTTACAACTTACATTCTAACTAAAAATCCCCTCAGAAGATTAATGAATAATACTATTTTATTTAATTATATAACCTGAAACAAATACAAAATATACAAACACCAAAGACATATGCCTGACATAAAATAAAGTGGAGGTCTTTGGAAATAAGTTATCAATACTTCTACCTCAGTTCTATTGTATTTTAGGGAAGGGAAAATGTGAATCTCTGGTTCATTATTAATTGTTATTTTGTAAGTGGAACAGTGTATTTCCTGGGTAAGCTCAGCCCAGAATGTTTTTTTGGTTTACCCCGTAATGTGAAATTGTCCATGTCATGTTTAATAGTTCTTGTAATGAGTCTTGTTTTACTGCTCACTGAACCAACCTTCTGGCCTCAGGCTCTTCCTGCTTGGTTAAGGTCAAATATAAAACCAGCCTTCACAGGAAAGCCTCCTTCATTCACCTACAGAATGGCTCCATCACCATGACTGACTGACCTGTGTAGGATAAATCAGCCATTGAAGCAAAACATTTTGTACAAAAACTGCTCCAACAAAGTAACTGTCTTAGCTGCCTTTGTGGGTCCATTTAAATACAGAAAACTACTGTCATTCTGAATGGAGTTACCAGTGGGCAGTGACAGTGTTCACCTGGCTGCATACAGACCCAGACCTCCTCTGTCAGTAGCTAATGGGAAGGCAACATCTGGAGGGTATGATGAGTCTGGGTACTATAAGTGTTATGGAGATGGGAGCAGCGTAACATCCAGAGGATCTGATGCTCTAACTGGCTATGAGACTCTGGATGCT